ATGGCTGGGAAGAAAAGAAACAGGAGACCTTGAGCCAGTGATGACCCTACTATATCACTAACCAACTTCTGCCAGCTGCCCAAAACATCCCTAAATAGTGGCCTCAATTGAGACCCAAACTGGAGTCTGTTTAAACCACAACACATAGACATTCATTTCTTACAGTTACAGAGGTCAGCAATACAAGATCAACACCTGTGCTGATGAAGTTTCTGGTGAGAATCTATCTGTTTTCTGCTTCATGGAAAGCAAACTTTTACTTTATCATTTTGTTTGTTTGCTTTTGGCACATAAGTCTACATTGCTAAAGGTCCTGTAGATATCCCTGTAGTACAATTTATAAGGATATAATTTCCTATATGTCACTCCCCACAGACTTCACCTCGAAAACATCACATTGGATAGTATGTTGTAGGTATGGGTTTTAGATGGGAATATAAACATCCTGTTCAAGGTGGCTTCTTAACCCAGTAGCATTGTGAAGACCACAAGACAAGCATTTCTACATGAATTTTTAAATATAAAATTAAGTTTGTTAACTAGACTTTTTTCTTCAGTAGTCTTCTATTTAAAACTTGAATGAAGTATTTTCTCTTAAAATGAGTTATTATTTTATCTTCAGTGTGGGTCACAGTGACTCCAATTATTTCTTATTTTGATAACAAAAGAATGTTCAGTTCCATGCATGGAAACTTGTAGAAGTTCTCTACTACTCTGTATTTGAGAGGTCTTGAATATAGAAGAAATCCTAACAGAAAGATGGGATTTAAAACTCAGTTTTTACTATTTCATGTATTACTGTACATATTCTGATGGAACAGATGCATCTTGAATTTTATTAGTTTTTGACACTTGCTTGACATAATTCAATTTGTTGGTAAATTAGATTGATAAATTACATGAACTCGTTTTATTCCCTATTCAAATTTTTATTATTTTGATTATAAAGATATTATTCAAGGGTCATCTTAGTTTTGCAGGAAAGCAAATAAAATTAAACCAATATTTTCATTAGTGAAAAAGTGATGCCACTCATATTGGTGAAGTATTGGAAAGATGAAAATTTAATAGGATTGATGTTGAAGAAACAGGTATGCTTGAAGTTGGATGGTTGTGTTTCAAGACAGAAAACCAAATTCAGATTCAGCAATCAAGCATGTCAAATGTATTTAGAACTTTGTACACATAAGTGTTTGAAGCTCTGTTTTGGAAGAGATGCATTTCCAAATGTTGCAGATATGAAATAACATTTTTACGAGTTGTGCAAAATGTTCAAAGGATAGAGCATCTGGCAGGAAAGGGAAATTCAATGAGTTTACAATAATTTCAAAATAACTATTTAAAGTACTATTTACAAATTTATATTTGGTTTTCAATGAGCTAATAAGGCTATATTACCATTTACATTTTTAAAAATTGCTATCTTATATTTTAATAAAATAGAAATGTAGATTTCTATCTTGAAGAAATAAAATACACAGATAAAACTTTAGCATAGATAAAAGCTGATAGATGTATTTTACAAGGCATTGGTTACATTATAAAATTTCTGAAGCTATGTATATTTATGTACTTAAAGGATTCAGCTTCTTTTCCCTTCTGTATCCTACCTCAGAAGGCCATACTACTTTTATAAGATCGTGTGGTGACATTACCTTGAATGTTCTTAAGTGAGCATTTGTTTCTTAGACATTGTTTAATTCTTTTATATTATTTCAATTCAGTTCTTATAAACCCTACTTCTTTTGTATAGGTTTGCCATGAATTTCTCTGCCTTCAGGTTTAATTTAAAATTTATGTATGTTAAGAACCAATTCCTCTCCTCTCGTTCCCTTTCTCTTCCTCCTCTCCCCCTTCCCCCTTTTCAAACTCTGAAAAGAATATATCAAAATAATCTGTATATTTCTGTAAGTGAAATCAGAGGTGAACTTTATTGTGCAGTATTCTGCTCCTAATTTGTTTTATAATGATCTTGAATTGGCTTTGGGTTCAAATATAAATCTATAACATATTATAAATTTTCTCGTCAGTGTGCTTTGTTTAGTGCTGAAAATTTGGACATATGTTATCTTCAAATTAACTAACAAGATATTTTCTGTAGAAAACAAATAGTTTTGCTTATAAAGGGACTGTTATCCAAGATGAAGACTTACACATATATGCAACTACTTGAATAATTATAAATGTCCACATATGTGCACTTGTGTGCACATATCCCTCCACCAACATGAGCATATCACACCATTTTAGTTTGCAAGTTTTAATTATTTAACTTTTTAAGCATTGATTGGATAATATTCCAGCATGGTTTTATGTTATTCTCAAATAAACATAGTGTTCTATTATATATGATATCAGAGAATCATGGGGAATTTTGTGATGGCTCTGGAAATATTCTTCATAAAAGTGCATGAATGGATATTTGGAGCCCATTCCCCATGGAGGGATACTCTCTCAGCCTAAATACATGGGGGGGGGGTGACCTAGGTCCTTCCCCAAATGATGTGACAGGCATTGATGATACCCCATGGAAAGCCTTACTCTTCCAGAGGAATGGATGGGGGTGGCACGGGGGAGTCAGTGGAGGACATGGGAGGATGAGAGGGAAAGAGAACTAGGATTAATATGTAAAATAAGATTGTTCCTAATATAAATGAAAATAGTTTTAAAAGTGCATATAATCATTGTTGACTTTTCCTTGATAAAATTTAGTCACTAGCTTCCTTGTTTGTAACATTCTAACAACATACAAGTGAACTGATTAACAAAATAAACAGTAGGATGCATATTTGTGGAGCCTGAAAATGGCATATTCCAGGTCAAATGAGTGATTGTCCTCAGAAGTTCATCTTTCCACTGTATATTCACATGGCCTGGACAGGAAGCAGGCCTCTCATAAGCTCTTGTAAAGAAAATAATTCTATTGATTAGTTCATACTTTTGAACTCACCTATTACTAATTAATTCCTAAAGATCATACCATTTAACCCTGCCATATTGGGGAAAAGGCATTTAAATCAATGATCTCAGAGTAGGTAACGAGAATGAACGTGTAGTTCAAACACCGAGTAGAAAGCAAATATCTGCTTTCTGGAAGGAAAGTGAGTCACTTATTCAGTAGTATTTTTAGTTTGCATAAAAGTGAAAATGCATAGGTTATAATAACAGGATCCAATAGGAAATGGCAACGGAGTTCATTGACTTAATGAGAAATACTATACTTAATATAATTGGCTGAGTTATGGGTTGGTATAAAATAAAACTAATCAATAAAGGTACAAGTTGTAGGCATTGTTCATTCATTAAAAGAAAATCAATGACATTGAGGAATTAGAAATAAAAATCAATGACTGAAATATATGTACCTCAAAGATGGCTTAGAAGAGTGAATTTTCAGAGAATACTTCACAATCACACACACACACACACACATACACACACACACACACACACACAGAGAGAGAAACACATATCTTCTGTATTTCTTCTGGATTTTAATATACTTATATATTTTTAAAAGATGTTACTTATCAGTGGGAAGGAATCTACTTACTGGTGAAGGACCCCTGTGTGCATGATATGTAACTTGAATGTCTTTCAATTTATCATAGTAGTTCCCTGTGGGAAACATAGACTTACGACATACGGTACTCATCAGGTATCCTTGCTAAACTCTTTCCCATGGAGAAATGATTTCTAAATTTATTCCTTTATTTGACTATAAACTCATGACTAGATTCTTTCCAAATATCTATGAAATAGTGAATTATATAAAGTATTCATGAATTATTGCAAGCTGGGAGAAGTGATAAACTGGTTTTACTTTTAAACCTGGTCCAAATGAGATCTTGTTCTAATTTCTCTTTAACTTTATACTATAAACACTCATTAACATGCTGTTACAGTAACAGGCTGTTACTGAATGCTGAATTTTCTAGATGGACACAACTAATATATATTAATGACAAAGCAGATATACTAAATTGGCTTACACATTACAGGTTGGGTGATCTAACAATGACTACCTGCATATTAGAGGATCTAAGAACATTGGAGCTACCAGGTCCATGAGGTTGAATGTCGTGGAAGGCCTATCTTGGCTCAAAAGGTTTAAACTATTCTAAGCCCCTAGTCCTAGGTTTGCATTGGCAAGCCATAGACTCTTGGTCCAATATTATTAGAGAATGGTGACAGTAGGAAAGGCAGATCCTAAGTCTATGCACTTACCATAAAAAAGTGAAGGTAGGGAGGCAAATTTAATACTGCTTTTCTCTCTGATATCTTTATATCTGGATTCCACAAGAAGATGTGTTCCACTCTGGGAGGTAGTCCCCTCTTCTGTTATTAATACTTCCTTGGAATGCCCTCACAGACCTGACATTATGAGGCATGTCTGTCTGTTAATTGATCCCAGATTAAATTAAGTTGAAGAACAAGATTCAATATTATATATGTTTAGTGGAAATGGTAGTGGGATTGTATCCCATAATGTGAGCAAGAATAGATACTAGCTAAAAGTATAGTATAGTACTACATACTGTATTAGGATATATAATGCCTACATACTCTCACGCAAATGCAACAAAAATGGGATAAAGCAATTGTCACTGTTGTCTGTGTGGGAACCCAAAGCATCCTTTAGAATTGAAGGGAATCACAACAGCTAAGAGTGGTGGCATCTAAAGATGTTCTGTTACAGCTGAGGATTTCTAAGGAATAAATTGTTAATTTTTATTATTTATTGCTCACCCACACTGTTCTTAAATAAGGCATGTTTCAGCTTCTGTTGAACATTCCCATTTATATTTTCTCTGCAATAGCCATTTTTTTCTATTTCCATATGGATCAATCTAATTCTAGGCTTGATGCTCCTGATAATTTTCTTTCTGGTCATATTTCTTTCTTTTATCTTCTGTATTATTTTGCTAGGCCATTACCATTATATAGAAAAGTACTTAGAAGGCGCAACGCGGCTCAGATTCGCTATGGCGGAGGTGCAGGAGGCTGTGGACGCCATGGTGAAAAGTATGGAGAGAGAGAACATTCGGAAGATGAAGGGCCTCATGTTCCCGTGCAGCGCCAACTGCTGTGAGGACAACCAGGCATCTATGCAGCAGGTGCACCAATGCATCGAGGGATGCCATGCACCTTTGGCTCAAGCCTTGGTGACCAGTGAGCTGGAAAGGTTCCAGGACCGCCTGGCCCGGTGCACCATGCATTGCAATGACAAAGCCAAAGACTCGATAGATGCAGGAAATAAGGAGCTGCAGGTGAAGCGACAGCTGGACAGCTGTGTGGCCAAGTGTGTGGATGACCATATACACCTCATCCCAACAATGACCAAAAAAAAAAAAAAAATGAAGGAGTCTCTGCCATCCATCGGGAAATAAAATTGTTTGCCAGTGACCATGGGGCTGAGGGCACGAAATTTAAAAGGAAGAAAGTTTAATCTGTTAAGCAATTTTTATGAATGAAGAAAACTCAGGACACAGTCAAGTTCCAGCACATGCCATTCACCTCTGGACACCAGTTTTGCCTCTGGATCTTAGAAGGTGGAGTAGGAAGAAGCTGGTGCTAAAATATGGATCACAAATAGCACAGGGGAGAATTCTAAATCCTAAATTTTCATGTCCAAGAGCTTGTTCTGACAGTAGAGTTTACCCTCATACCAAGGACTCAGATTCTTACACAGACTGAGCTAGCAGCCTTCTTCAACCTGCTGGTAAAGTTTGAGGAAAGTGCCAAGCTCCTGTTTACAAGTGTCACCACACTTTGCATGTGCCCTGAAACAACCCAGTAGGCTAATCATTTAGAGGGAGGAGAGGGGTCCTTTCCAGGTCTTTTCTGTTTGCTTTTGTCTTATATACATGGGCACACAGTGGATTTAAGATACAGGAGGGAGAGTAGTTTGAATAATTTCTAAAGGTTCCTTGGATTTTCTGGCCATTGAGATGGGAAAGCCTATTCAAATTCTGTCATTCTGGAAGCCCCTGAAGAAGTGGGGTTGCATCATACTATGTATGGGAAACATCTTCTTTCTCTTGACGTGTGTAGCAAAGTAACATATTCCCAGATTTCACAGAACAAAAGTCCAAAGCCAGTATTACTCCCTCAGCCCCCTGAATTCACAGAGCCTTTTATAGAGATTATCTTCTAGCAACAAGGAGGCCTAAAAGTAAGCAACTTGGGCCAAAGAAAGCTAGGGCCACTATAGAGCAAGACAGGCACAGGCACACATCTTCTTAACAAATAACACTTTTTTTTTTCTGCCTGCAGCTTTACAGTGCAGTGTTGCTGCCCAACACCTTATCTTTTGGATAAGTACTGTGTTGTATTTATACCAATTAACTACTTGAAACAGTGATAATATTTGTTAGTTTGTTGTCAAGCCTGCAATATATTTTCCAAGTGGTTTGGTTTTTAAATAAAGTTTCAATGTCTCAAAAAAAAAAAAAAAAAAAAAAAAAAAAAAAAAAAAGAAAAGAAAAGTACTTAGAAACTGAAATAAATTATATGTACACTGAGAAGGTTCATTCCTCAGTTAGTCTTCTGGTGGTGGAAAGGGGGGTGGGAGGCGAACTCTTAATTAGGGGATGGTATTGGTTTTGCCAATTTTGCCTAGAATTTACCCTATATCATAACATTTTATGGCTTAAGCACTGGGTCAGATTGGATCATGAGGAGTCTCTAAACCCCATTCAGGATTTATAGGTGAGATGGGAGCTTGGAGAGCTATGGGACTCTCAGGGTTGAGGGCTGGTTGGGTTTCCTCCTCTAACTTTATCAGGCTTGCAGTCAGAGAGCTGTTTTGTTTCACTTAAATACCCCCACCCCCACCTTCTCAAGCTCTGCTCACTTACTCTTCAAGTACACCTTAACTAAATCAAATATCCTGTCCCTGCCTTTGGAATTTGGATGAAAGCTTGGAAATATTCTAGAGTTGAATTCGTTCCCCAAGTCTTACCCTAGCCATACAGAAAATCAAAGGCAGCCTAGCCCTCAATTCTCGAATCCACTCCAATTCTCAAAACAAGAAACAGACTCAGAGCACAGAGGAAAGGTGGAAACTGAATGGAAATTTTTTTAATAGTTGTTATCACCAGCTTGGGACGTTTTAATTGTCCTTTCTAAATTGCACTTTCTCCATCCTCAGTGTTACTTTTTCCTCTCCCACTGTGCAACTGAGTGCCAGGTGGGTGTGTTTTTACTGTAACACTATGTTTAACTTTGCTGGGTTTATTTCATTTGTATTTATTTTCCCCAGTGCCCCCATTGCAAATTTATGTTATTTGACTTGTTCTTATTATTATATCAAAAGAAACATTTTTAGTGACTTTTATACCATAAATTAAAGGTGAAGCCATATATATGTGTATATATTTATAAAAGTTCATGTATTTGAATCTTCTGTGAACTAGTCATGTCCATCCTTTCTAATTTGCCCCCTCTCATTATCTCTTAATATCCTTAAGTCACTTTGTAGAAGAATCGTCAAGTGTTCCTATATATTAGTTCTTTATCAAATTACCCTTGTTTGGTACAAGGTCAACTAACACTGACCTTATTTAGTTCTGGATTTATGACTTCTCACCCTGTCTTTCTACATCCATCACTACTAATTGCAGAATCGTATTATTTCCTAAGGATTCTTAGTCTTTATTAATTAATAATATGCAAACTATGATATTAAGTCATAAATCATATTATAATTTAATTTCAAAGCTATTTCTTCTTTACTTTACCATATGTAACATTTTACATAAAAACTATTAAAGCGCTATTTGTGCCTAAACTATTTGTCTAAGACTATTAAGAAAAAATAAAGTAAAAATAGAGAGAATAAATTGTCTCTATCTCTGGACTGATGCGTGTGTTTCCTAGATACCATCTATCAAAACTCTTTTCAGGATACTTATGTACTAATTACTAATTACTACCCTTATTGCAAAGTCACAAACATCAAAAGTTCTAACTTTAAAATCAAATTATATTATAATAGAGATCTCTTTGTACCCAACTCCTTTCCAGAACTGTGGAAGCCATCTCTTTTTTGGAAGACAATCTTTAAGCTTTTCAAGGTCTGAGGATATGCATCATAAATTAGTGTGTTATGCACAGAATGGTTAAAAATGGACTATTTTTTTTTTTTTTTTTGACAAATGGCCCTGAAATCGTCACTAATATAAACAACACAATTTTAATTCTTTATATTCTAACTCAAATATTTCAAATCTCTAAGCATGTAAAACAGGAGATTTTTGTTCTGGATGGATCATAAAGTTTCTTATTGTAAAATGGAGAGGAAAGCCTAGGCATTTTTGTATTTTAAAGAGAATATTTTTTGTAAAAGAGAAGATAACTTCCTGTTGCATATTAGATCATACAAAATACAGAAGCAAAAAGAAGCAAGCAAGAGCTGTCTCCACACTTGGTGAAATAGCCCTTAGCAACAACATTTTATGATTTTCATGTAGACTTATTTGTACCCCAGGATAAAGAATGATTATGAATGCTACTGCTTGAATTTCCACAGGTATCTGCATGTGCAATATGATTAACATTAATGGTCATCCTGCCATTGTGTATATGCTTAACTAATAACTTGCTAGAACCAACTTGTTCTTTTCTTCAAGCAAAAGTTATTTCAAATAGAAGCTTGTATTTGGCAAAAGTCTACAAATGGTGGTAGCATTCACAATGTTTAAAATTGGCGAGCATGTGTCAATAACATTTTAAATAGAACCTTCCATGCTCTTAATTTGATATCCTTTGACATGTTTCTCCTACTGGAAAGGTAAATAACAATGCTATTTTACAATTTAGATAATAAATGTCCTCCAAAGCTATTCTAACAGGTGATGACCCTTTACAGAGGTGGTGGAAAGTTAAGGAGGCAGAATCTCATGTAAACAGGCCACTGGGTGGTATCCCTTTTATGGAAATATGAACTCCAGATTCACCAACTTTCTTTACTTCTTGGTGGATGTGAGATGAACAATTTCTGCCACTATGCCCTCCTTAACCAAAGGTTAAAAAAAAAAAAAAAAAGAGCTGAAACCCCTAAAACCCTGTTCCAAATAAGCTTCCTGCCCTTCAAGTGACTTACTTTCAGATATATAATCACAATTTTGGAAAATCAAAGATCACAAAGTCTCAAGGGAAGCAATAAGCAAAGTTGAAAGTGATTGTTGAAAACTCAGAATTCTTACTTTTTCATCATCAGTGTATGAAACAGAACATATGCCCCCAAATTAAGCAGTGCACATAATTTTCCATATGTGATTGAAAAGGTAAAAGTGTAATGGAGTGTGAGGAGGATTTTATTATGAATAAAAATGCATAAGGAGAAAAACATACACCCGTTAGGTAATAAAGATGCTCGTAGCTGTGCTCAATAAAGAATGGCTTGCAATTCTTCACGCAAATTCAAGCACATTTTTCAGAGACAGAAAGTGGGAAGACTGCATGGTAATTGCTCTAAGGAAGATAGACTACCAACTCGTTTGCATGCATGGTGTGAAATCACTACAGTCCTGAATACTCCTGATGAGAAGACAGTGGATGTCTAGTCTGCAAATGGCTCCACTGTGGCTTTCTTATTATAGTTTAGAAGTTTATTTTTCCATTGAAACTAAATAAATGACAAAAGCTATAGGGAATGCTGGGGAAGGACAAGTTTGCCTTCTTAATACTTTAGGGGATCATAATATGGTATTCTCTCTAATCAGTGCTCTGCAACTTTGTAAAAAACCAGAAAAGAATAAATTGGATTTTCATTTTTATGAACAATCTGTCACTTCATGTTAGTCCTTACTTTCTATAACCAAAAAGCCCACAATTAACTCATCATTCCTTATAGAATCCAATTTTTCCAATATTGAAACTTAGCAGTTTTATATGCATTTACATTTTCAGTGTTCATGAAACTAACATACATTTATAGGTTATTTTTAGTAAAAATTAACCAAAGTATTTTCCTGTTTTATGAAGTTTAGGAAACATCTCCATGTGTTAATAAAGATTGAACATCCAATGACTTACCTTAAGCATTGTTAGTCTGAGACTATCTCTGCAGCAAAAATTAACATCAATTCATAATTCAAAGGAGCAAAATTTGGACAAAAGTTTATGCATTTAATTTTAGATTTGTTATGTGAAACATTTTACAAATTTGAATTCCTTTAATTTGAATGTTATACGAAAATGTATTAAAATGCTATTACATATGAGAGCACAGAGGGAATTACCTTAAAATTAATAATCAAGACTTGTTGTAAAAGCATGATTGTTGACTAATCAGCCTGAGAACAAGAGGAATAGTGTACAGCTTTGTTGTAGAGGTCTGGGCTCTGGCTTTGATTGCCCAATGTCATAAGGAGACAAAATGAAAACGGATTATGATTCATAAGTCT